TCTGGCCGCCCTCCTCTCTGGCAGTGCTCATCCACCACTGATGCCGCGGAAATCCCGGCTGAGAGCTGAATTTCATGGTGACTCGGACCTGCTTCGAACACCACGATCGCAGGCTCAAGCGTCGACCGTCGGTCGGGGCCCGAGGGCCCTGGGCGATCTACGACGCTGGGTTTCGCGCGCAGTCTGTCGAGCGTTTCCTCGGGGGTCGGCGGGGCGGCGGAACCTGCCCGATGTGCCCCCCCTGCTCCCATTCCGCCCTGCATCGAGGCATGTTGCTTTTACTGTCTGCGACGCACTATTACTTCTCTGTTGCTTCGCGGTGGAATCTGGCCGTCGACATGCACTGGGAGCGAAGAGAACGCAAACGTGCGTCGGCATGTCTGGCCCGTCTCGAATCGTTCCATATCGCGATCTGGAGATGGGGTGGCGCAGTGCTGATGATGGTGCGCATGTCGTGGGGAATGCTGCTATGTCGCAATGGTTGCGGTGGTTCGGACCGCGATGTTGTTGCTGGACACATGTTGGTGCAATCGTCGCTGCGGCATTGTCGGCGCTGCGCTTTGCGCCTGCTTCTCTGCCGCGCTGCCGCGGGGCGGCAACAAACGCGCGCGCGATCCGCGGCGACGGGGCGCCCGCGCGAGCGGCCGCGGGCGCGCCTTCGAACCGAGGGGCGCGAACAGCAATGGCCGCGGCAGGCCGAAATGCCGGCGCGCGCAAGATGCGCGACGACAGCGCGCGCGAGTCGCGTCAGGCCCCCGCGCGCGCGAACGAGATTTTAACACTCAGCCGAATGGAACCATGGGGTCGCGACTTCAGACCTCGCGATGCGCGAGACATCGCAGAGGCCACCGGCTCGCCGAACACCGAAGCTCGCAAGTACCTCGGTTCTCAAAATCAATCCGAGTCTGGGTCGAGGGGTGTTGGAGCATCAGTGGATCCGCCGACCCTGTCGGCGTGCGCGAGGGGCTTGGCTGTTCGAGTCGTCGTTTCCGTCGGTCGTCGCCTCCGTCGTCCCCTTTCCTTGCAGTTTCATTCTCAAGCTCGTGCGCGAGAGAAAAATCTAGCAGTGTCGTAATCGAGTCGAAGGGAAGCCCCTTCCCTTCGATCCCTTTCCCCAGGGGGGGGGGGTCCCAGGGGGGTGGAGGGGGGGGGTGGCCGGGGGGGTGCTGGGGGGGGTGCGGGGCGGGGCCCCGCAGATTCGGGGCGGCCTAGAAACTTCGAAAACACTCCAAATGAGGTCCGAATGCCCAAGATGGCCCCCGAGACGGCCCAAGAGGGCCCCGAGTCGCCCAAAGATCGGCCGAAAACGCCCAAGATAGCCCCAAGACCGTCCAAGACGCCTCCAAGACGTCCCGGGCCCCCTCCAAAAGACCCCCAGGAAGCCCCAAGAGGCCCCCACGAGGCTTCCAAGCGGCCCCTAAGAGCTTCCCAAGAGGCCCACAAACTACCCCCAAGAGGCCCCCAAAAGCGCTCGTCGTCGTCGTCGTCGTCGCCATTCAGGGTCGGCGGCACCGGCCGTAAGGCCTTCGCAATCATTCACCGTGGAGCGCGCGAGCCTTCTCAAGCAAAAGGCGGGCTCACCGTATTAAACAAGCGAAAGCCTAGACGAAGCACCCGAGGCAAAGTGTCCAACAGGCCCCTTCCTCCCCTCGCAGGAGCGAGTCGGAAGAGGCGCGCGGCGGCCGGAACGCACGCGGGTGCTGGACAGCGAAGGCCGTGGGAAATATTGCGGCACACGAACGAACCGAAACACGCCGTGAGGTGCCCCGCGCCGTGCCTTTTCACGACCTCGCCACTCAGGACGCTGCGCTAGCAGGGTGGCGGAATTGCCCGAGGCAGCTGGACATGGAGGAACGTAGAAGGCAGGACGGAGGTAGTAGGCAGGAGGGCGATGGAGGAGGAGGCAGAATGAAGGAAGGAGACATACAGGCGGGAAGAACGGTTGGAGACCGAAGGCAGTTCTGTTCACCACGAGAATCCAACACAGGAGGGCTGGGATAGTTAGCTGTGGGAGGTACGCGCACATGTCTTGAGACAACCCGTGGCCCCCCTTTCAATGTCTTTCCCGGCGCGCGGAGGGCACAAGGTGTGGCGCTGGAGGCGCCAGCAGGAGTCTCGGTAAGGGGGTGCATCGCCGACCAAGGGGGTAGCATGTATGGCAATTCATGTTGTTCTGCGACAAGCCCTCAATGCATTATATAAAAAGCACGATTCATGAACTCTCTCGGTGGCGTCAGCCCAGGCGGATACTTCGAAACCAATCATGGCTGCCAGGCACGGCAGCATCCTTGGCAAGGCGCTGCAGCGAACGTTGGAAGCCGTGGACAGACCTGGCGCGCACCAGCATATCAGGCAGGCGGCTGGATGTAGGAGTCAAACCATACACTGGCAGAACAGATCCGAGCGGACCCCAGGGCGTATGTTAATGCATTTGTGGTGTTCCTCGGTTGGAGCTGCCGTGGCGTTCTGGCCCTGCGGGGCGAGGATGCAGCTTCTCGGGGGCGCCGTGGAGCCCACGGACTCTCGGGAGTGCCCCCGTGGGCCAGAGTACCCACACGGCCTGCAAGGCGCCCTGGGCCCCCCAGAGCAGCCCTCGGGCTGCGCAGGAAAGTGTCCCAGGACCCGGCGAAACCTGGCCCCCCCCCCCGCCATACTATCCGGAATACCTCCATTGCCGTCCCCGAGGCCCCAAAACAGCCCTTCGGGCTGAGAACATTGCACATCGGTCGGAAGAAGTAGGTGAACCCACCATGAAAAAGGAAGGCGCTGAAAGTATGTTGGGATCTGGAAATCCGGAAGTACCTACTTTCCACGACCGACGGGTACTGATTCGAACACCGCGGACCGAAAAGCGTCTCCGTATACTTTCCAGACTGCGTTCGTGACCTTCCCAAGGACCCCACTTGTAGGTAAATCGATTAACATCGCCTCCTACTGCACGCGCGTTTGTCGTAGGCTGTTGCTGATGTGTGTTCCAGGCGTGGCTGCGAACTACGGGACGCTGTCTCCCGATTCAAATACAATGCCTAAACAGGTTGACTTCACCGCAGTGTCTTATTATTCTGGCATTTGTTAGCGAATATTGCGCATACTGCCCTCGCTAGTGTGAAGAATTCTTACATTATGTTCTCTTGCTGTTCGGGTTCTGACATTAAGCGGCTGCCTGCGATTGCCACGTGGATATCCACGCGGCGACTCGAGGGGAGACGATGGAGCGATACGAATTGTTCGTAACTTACCTGAATGGTTTGCCGACGTCACGTTGACGCCTGTTCTGGACAAATTGTTACTGGGCCAATGGTAGCCTTGCCCATTCACGCGGCAACCGCGAACGTGTCTTCAACATGCGTGTTGCAATGGCTGTCTGTGTTGTCCCGTCTTGGGGACCCTCAACGAGCATAGCCAGCATGCAACAGAACATTGCAGGTTCAACATATTGTGAATTGAGGATGTCTGCAGCGAGAGCCTGATTGCTGAGATACGGCACCAATGGAAAGCTGCGTTGAACTCAATGTTCGAAGGCTGTCTGAAGCGAGAGCCCCAATCTTTATGAAGGGCATCGTACAACGGGAACGTGTCTCAAGCGAGACGGATAGTTGATGGGAGCGCACCTCTTCTGCATGTCATTTGTTGAGGACGTCTCACGTGGAAGGCAAAGTGTGGGCGCCTCTGTGGAGTTGCGTGCGCGCGTGCAAGTTTGTACCCAAAAGGATGTGGGTGCACATGGGGTGCCGTCTTACGGCTTCCCAGGTGCGCGAGTAGCGCCGGGGGAACAGACGCAGGCAGGCCTGAGGAACAAGCGGGGCCAGTCCGGATCCAAGCGGACCCCTATCTCAGCGCCATCACTGCGGCATGGCGTGGGCTGTGACCAAGACAAGCGTCGACAAAAACCCGCGGCATCTTGGTCATGATCATCGTGCACATTCCCTCCAGAAGGCTCCCACCCTCGGAGGCCTGGAAATGGGCACCAACACCAACACAGGGGGTTGCCTCCACACGTGGAAGATGATCCTAGATTTCGGTGTCGGTGGTAATAGCTCGGCCACCTTGGAAGCCAGAGCATTACCACCGCCGCCGAGATCGGGATCTTCTTTCCTCGGTGGAGGCACACCGCCGATATCGGTGTTGGTGTCAACCTCTAGGCACCCAGCCCCGCCCGGTGGGCAAGAGAAAAACGAGGGCGCCTGCTGCGGAGCCCGCTCGTGCCCCCCGTTCGCGCCGGGCTGGTGGCCGGAGCCAGGGGGCGTATCTAGAAAGGCGCGTTCCACGACTCGCAGAGTAGCTACTCGCAAGTGGCCTGGCTCCGCCGAAGAAGATTTACGAGAAATTTGGTCGAGGCGAGCGCGTTTTTTTTATCTGACGTTTGCGAGTAGGCACTTTGCGAGTAGTGGAACACGCCCGGTGAGTATCCAGTGGCTCGCTCCAGGAGAGTTCAGGAAGCAACTCCTTGGAGGTCTTCGTGGGACAATTGTCAGAAGCTGCGGCGCCCGATCAAGGGGCCAATGAGCTGGGTGAGGCCCAATTCGGCCTGCGATTCAGCCGAACTGATCGGGATGAAGCCGGATTGGGCAATATCGGACAACATTAAGCAGGTTTTGATCAGGGATATGCCAGCGCCGATGCTCAAGGGGTGGATAAGGAGGAGGAGGAGGACGATGAGGAGGAGGAGGACGACGACGAGGAGGAGGAGGAAGAGGAGGGGGGGAAGGAGGAAGACGAGGAGGGAAGATCACCATCTCGGGAGTCAGCTGCACCTCAGAAGAGGAGGAGGAGGAGGAGGAGGAGGAAGAAGAAGAATAATCATAATGATAAGAAGAAAATGATGATGATAATAATAATAATAAGAAGAAGAAGAAAAAGAAGAGGGGGAGGATGAGGGGGGGGGCGAGGAGGAGGAGAGGGGGGGGGGTAGGGTGGGAGAGAACAACACCTCAGGAGCCAGCTGCCCCTCAGAGGCACCGGGGCGAGGCGCGGGCCGCCCGCCCCTCCGGGGGCGAGGCCTGGAGCTTCGAGTAGGCCCACAGGATGTTGGCGGCGTTCTGCGGGGACAGCTCCCACCGCTTGCTGGGCCGGCGGGGGGGGGGTCAGCGCGGGAGCGCGGCCCGCGGAGCCGCGACGACCAGCACCGAGTGGGGCTGCTGGAGTCGGGAAGCGACAGATCGGGGGCGAAGACCCTCCTGTTGCATCCCCCAGAGAGGCACCTGCGTGCACGAGGATGGCTGGAGGCAGAGCCACCAAAGGATCTCAGGAGCATCGGGCCCCTTCCGATCCTGAGCTGCTCCTGGATTCGTCAGCTTGGCCGTGCGAGTGGGCAACCGAAGGCAATTGAGGGCGGTGGCAACTGCGCCGCGCCGATCAGTACGACTGTCTGCGCACTCGTTGAGAGGGAGCTCAACAGAGACTGGGGAGATGGAAGCCGTGGGAACAACCAGCCGCTCCCCCTTGCGGATCTGGCTTCGATTCCGCACGTATCAGTCCTCAGCTCCTTGATTCCAGTGCCAATCGTCGGCTCTAAGGCTTCAAATGTACAACTTCTGGCTCTTCGTTTCGACGTTGATGATTTCGCTCCGACCTGCGATCCTTGCAAATCTCCACCCAAGTCGGCATCAACAGCTGGGCCCCCCCCCACTCCCGTTCAGAGATTGAAGCAATAGAAGGACGCGCGCACCCCGCCCCAAGGGTCACAAGGGGTTGTACCTACACCGCGCCACGTTTCCTGTCGATTTGGTGGTTCCCCGAACACATAAAGATACACCAGGCCAGGAGAGGCACGATGGGGGAGCCCAATCAATCCTCCGCCCCACCGCGGCGGACCCCACCCCGAACACCTCCAGAGCAGAAGTGGTGAGGGAGGGAGAGATGACTAGGAGTAACAAGGCGGAGGGGTCCCCATCGAGAACCACGACACATGTTAGATAACGACGGATGCGCGTTCCCGGGGCGGGAGCTCCCATGAAGAACGACAGATGCGCGCCCCCGAGGCCACAGTTCTCCGTCAATTACGACGGGCGCGCGCCCCCGAAGCCATAGCCCCTCGTAGTTTGCTGCCGGCTCGAACCATCGCGCGCGCTTCGCGCGCGCTCAAGTTATCCAGACTCCCAACTCGCAGTGAGATGCCGAGGGTTGGGCGACGGTGTGGAATATGACCGCCGTCCGAAGACGGTACGGAAACACACAGTAAACAGCCAGGAGGACGACGAAGAGGAAGAGGGGGGGCGGCTTGGAGGTCGAGGAAGGGGGGAAGCGTCCAGGAGCATGACGGCGACGAAGACGAGGGCAGAACGGAGAGAGGGGCAGGAGAGCAGACGGAGGAGAGGAGGCACAGAAGACGAAGAGCAGGAGGAGAACACAAAAAGAGGGGGGCCACCGTGCCCCTCGTCAAGACTGTGCCCCTCCTGGTTGGTGTGGGACCTCTTGGATGCCCGTTCGCGTCTCTGGGGAAGTCTCTGTGAAGGGGCCCCAGGACACACAAATAAATACACACAAATAAAAGGTTTCCCGATATTTTCTTATATTTTCTGGGTTTTTGTCTTCCCCCCCATTTCCAATATTTTCCTATACTTTCCTGGGAATCGACGATTAATTGTGTCTGTGTGTTTTTTCCCCGCCTGATCCTGGTTGGTGTGAGACCTCTTGAATGCCTGTTCGCGTCTCTGGGGAAGTCTCTGGCCAGCCGCTTGGAAAAACATGTTTGACGCACCCTGGTGCACCTTCCCGGGGCCTCTTCGGGGCCTCTCTTTTGGCTTCCGTGGGCCTTCTCGGGGGGGTCCTCAGGGGCATGCTGGCGGCCTTCGGGGTCCTCTTGGGGCGGAGGCTTCGACATGCGGGTTCGTATTCCACCCCCCACGGCCCCTCGTGGGGCCGTCTTGCACGATCCTGGGTGCCCCTTGGGCCCTCTTGGGGCCCTCTTGGACCGTTTTGGGGCCCTCCGGGGGGCCTCTTCGGCCGTTTTGGGTCTCTCCCTGGGGACTCTGGGGCCGTTTTGATCGGGGCGCACATGACAACAACCAGTGCGTTAGAAATGTCCGTTTACCCCAAGGAAGGGCGATCTTTGGGGGGTCCTTTGGGGCCTGCTGGTTGTCTTGAGGGACTGTCCGAGAATGGCTTCGACTTCGTCGTGGCATGATTGAGTGATCGTTGGGGTTTGCTTGCTGCTGCTGCTGCCCTTCGTCCATTCCCCGTCCCCTCCTCTGCCCTCCCCCCTCCCCTCCCCACGCTGCCTTCGCAGCGCAGAAAGCGGATCAAAGCTATAGCGCTCAAGCCGGGATGTGGCTCACGCACGCGTGCTCCAGTGAACTTCATGGGCACCTTGCGGCTAGTGGCGTAGCAGCTTCATGAAAAACAGGATTTGCAGTCACCAATGCCTCCCCCTTCCCATCGTCGTCGTCCTCCTCCTCGTCGTCGTCTTCCGCCGGCGTCGTAGTGCTCCCCCATCCCATCAGGGGGGGAGGCATGTGGAACCCTGGAACCCCTCTCATCTGGGGGGGAGGGCCTGTGAACCCTCGACCCGGGACCATAGATGCTGCTCCCTTCGGGTTTCGCGTGGCCCATCCCCCTGGAAGGGTGACCTCGTGGGACTGAGACTCCGCGGCCCAGTGGGGATGGGGATTGGTTCGACGACGACGACGACGACGCCACGCCCTCAGGGCCACGACCACTGGGGAGGGGCGACGACGAAGACCACTGCGACGACGAGGACGTAGACCACGAGAAAGACGACGACGTAGACGACGACGACTGGTTGGGCACTGCCGAGACCCGCAGCTCGGCAGATCCGGCGGGCCTGATCACGACGTCCACCATGGCAGTGCAGAGCGGGACGTGGTGGAGGCCTGGGCCGCACCGCAGGAGGTTCCGCAGGGAGGCCACGGGGGCCAGCGTGCGCGGGCGGGCGGGCCAGCTGCTGGGCTAGTTCTCCTCGCGTTCTGTTGCAGCTTCGGGGGACACTGTGTCTCGTCGCGTCCCTCTCTGCGTCGAATCCGTATTGAATCCACGTCGGACCCGCCGAATCCGCGCCGAATCCACGCCGAATCCGCTCCGAGTCTGCGCCGAGTCCACGCCAAGCCCGCACCAAACTCGCGTCGGGCACGACGAAAGACACGGACAGATGCGGCCTCCCGAGGGCGCAACGTAACTTACGATCCTCTTCACCTGAGATTCAAACGTTGCAGATGTTCCGCATTGGGCGTTTTGGGAATGTGTCCAGCCCAAGGACCATCACAGATCGAGCCAGCTCGAGAAGTGCAGCAGACAGATGGGGTCTTGGGCTCAAGCCTCGATTTTTTGCGATGTTGCGTATTTCGAGGGTTATCGCAACGTGGTCGTCGCGGGCTGGGCCTTGGGCTGCGACCCCGTGGACACGGGGCGTTTTTGCTGTCGGATGCTCCGCGCGGAACGGCATCCATACGACCGCGATGCAGGATCGCGCCCTGGAATCCAGACCGCGAAGGCGCGGCTGTCTCCGGTCGTGATGCTTCACAGTGTTGCCGTTTTCGCAGTCAGATCTCCGGGTCTCTCACATCCTCCTTCGGATCTGCGCGGGCACCTCCTGGACGGAAGCGAGACGGTGCCGGCCCCTGCGCCTCTGCCCTCGACCAGCACCCTGCGAACATTGCCAGGTGTGGCCGCTGTCTCTCTCGGCGTCAAGCGATGCGCGTTGTTCTATTCCACCATGGCGAACACGACGGCGACGAGACATCCTGAACGGGTTTGCATACGACCGCATCATACAACGAAGATGAACCAATCAGTGTCGCCTCCTGAACACCTCCTGCCTGATGATCTGCAAGGGCGCAATGACTGTAATTCTGCCCCGATGGCCGGGGCAACGCTATACACTTGTTTAGATATCTAGATAGGGCAGTGCATGCAACGTCTCCGACTCAAATACGATTCCGCGGAAGAGTCCCGATTCTGCAGCCTCCTGAGCTTCTAGCCGCCCGGACTGCGAACAACTCTTCGTATTCGCCCACGCGAGCCTCCTCATCTGAGCTTGCCGAAGTGGCAGTGCACCGCCCCCTGATGTGTGTTGTTGGTTACCCTCGGAGCTGGTTGCAACCACTGGGAAAGGTGGGCGACCAACACGGCGGAAACCAAGTGCAATGCATCGAAGGCGGCGTGCCACATCCGAGGAGCGGAACAGAAACAACAACTGTTGCGCGCATTTTTTGTTCGGACAGGGCGCGTTTCGCGGGCGCTTGCTTCGAAAGCACTTTGACACTTTGGAACCGGAGAGCGCCCCCCCCAAAACATTGAGCGCCCTCAGAGAAACGCAAGGGGGGGCCCTTCGTGGACACCGGCCTCCTTCACCGTGGCGGGGCCCCGCCCCGTATCTGAGTTGCAAAGGGGGGGGGTCCAACTGGGGGGGGGCCCTCACTCTCGAGGGGGGGATTCAAACCAGGGGGCCCCCCTTTCCCCCCGAAGGCGCAAGGGGGGGGTCGAACCAGGGGGAGTGCTCCCTTCTCGTGAATTGCAAAGGCATTGGTTCGAACCGGGCTCCCGTCCCCCCCCCGCGCGCGACGTCGCCATCGCCGTCCCCGTCGCGGTGGCCGTCGCCGCCGCCGCCGCCGCCGCCGCCACTGTCGTCGTCGTCGTCGTCGTCGTCGTCGTCGTCGTCGTCGTCGTCGCTGCCCGACGACAGCGCCGGCGCAAGCGTCGTCACCCTCGCGCTCGCCGCCTGCGCCCTGGGGCCACCAGCCAGCGCACACAGGGCCGGCGAGCGCCGTCGCTGCGGATGGCCTTCAGCACGGCCAATCCACGGTTGCCATGACCCGCTGCACGGCAGCGAGCGCGTGCAGCCCCCTTGAGCGCACCAAGGACAGCGCGCGAGCCGGCAAGCGGGCCCCCGCCGCGTGGCTCGCCAGGCGGCCCGCGGCCGCGATACCAGAATGGTCCTCCAGGGAGACAGCCCGCTCGCGAGCCGCTGCAGCGCCCAAGTGCGCCTTCACCCACAGCGCGCGCAAGACACCGCTGCGACAGTGCGGGGTCGCGCATTCCCACAAATCTGCGTGCGCCCACTCCGCAGGGTTAACCCCGTCGCGACTGGCCGCCACGCCGCGGCTGAACCGGGGGCCCGTGACGAAGTCAACCAGCCCCCCTGCTAGGCTCCGCGCGCGCACCGCCGCGGTGAGTTCCACCCGCTGTGGCCCACTATGCTCGACGAAAACCGTTGCGCCCGCCACCACCAACCAGACTCCCCAACCCGCTTTCGCAAGCGCCGGGTCGCCCGGGCGCGCGCAAGCTCCGTCCGTCCAATCACGCGCCTTGCGGCCGGCCTGCGAACTCTACGAGTCAAGCAGGTTTAACAGCGGCAGCGGCAGCCGGGTTTGTTCCGCGAGCGCCGCCAGCCGCAGGTCCTGAGGCAGCCCCGTGAGGGAGGTCCCCAGCGGCAGCCTCGCGCGGACCTCGTCGCGGTGCCCGCTCGCGAACCCCAAGGGGGCGGCCTTATAGTGGGCTCCTAGCGCGAGCGCTGCCACAGCGGTACTCCGGGTCCTCTGGCGCCGCGCGGCAGTGGGGGCACACCGCTGGCTGACCCCACTTCGCGGCCAGTCTCGGCTACCACATCCACAGAGAGCACGGCGCGGAACGCCCCGGCAGCATCAGGCGCGAGCGCTACGCTGACCAGCAGCCGCCGCGTGGCTCATCTGTCTATGCCGCCCGCGGCGTGCTGGAAGGCCGCGCGCCTCTCCGCCAGCGAGCGCGCCTCGCGCTCGGACCACTCTTCAAGCAGTGCAGCGCGCGCCTCTCCGCCAGCGCCCCGCACACCTCGAAGCGGTTGCTACTGCCACCCGTGCGGTGCGCGGTGGTTGGCTGGGGTTGCATGCTTGGCGCAACTGCATTGCGAACAGGGACCGTTTCATTGGACCAGTGTTCCTTAGTCGTGGCGGCCACGCGGGAGACAAGACCAGCCCATCGCAGCAACAGAGTAGCTTAACGCAGAAATGCGCAAGCGCATCGGCGCATGCGGGATGAAACCGCAGTGCAGTATCAGAAACGTTCTGACCTGGAGTGCGAAAGAAGCCAGGGCCGCCTCTCCCCAATGCCAAAATATGCTCGCGGTCCTGAGCCTTCTGCTACGGAAATTTAACCAAAATGGTTGCGCACCTGCCCAGGCTCTTCCTCCTCCCGGTCTCCATTTCCGAGAAGGCACAAACCCTTTTCCCTTCGTGCATTTTCAAAACGCGACCCGCCGAACACTTCGACACCCCTTCTTGGCACCAACTTCTCATGGGGACCCGTTTTTCGCGACTGCCCTGGGGCCCGGCAGAGGAGGCCCCTTAGGACCCGAAAGTGGCCAGAACCTCCCGTCCCGAGCTGGTCACGACAGAATGGAACCCGGGTGGGGACACCGACAAATGCCCATATACCGCTACCCCCTGGACCTCTCCTGGGTTGCGTTCTGCCAAAACGTTCGAAGAGAATCGAATCCGGCCGTGGCGGCGAGGGCTTTCCAGACCGAACCACGGCGCCTGTATCCGTTGCTCCCCTGCGGCTGGGGGAGGAAAACTCCACTGAGATCCGACGTCGTGAACAAAAAAGCCACACAGCGAACACAAATCACGGCCGGAACCCTGGACCCCATCCTTCTGCTGCACAGGTTCGAACCAGATCGACCCGTGATGACCCCAGGGCCCGAAGCCTGGCGAAAGGGTGCCTGCTGTGAGAGATTTGCAGCGCCGCGATCGCAGGGTCCCGCGACGACTACGACGGCGGCAAACCCGAGGGGCCCCCAAAGGGAAAACCAAAAGGTACCGATATCGCAACTCCCCGGACCTCTCCCAGGGTGCGTTCTGACCACAATTTCGAAGCGAATCCAGCGGTGGCTGCGAAGGCCACCCCAGAAGCCAAAAAAAGAAACGAGGGGAAGGTAGCGATATCGATACCTGTCCCTCCTCCGACCCGCGTCGCCGCGCCTACGGTCGCGAACGACCACACCGTGTTCGAGAGCTCCTGGCGCGCGCCCCGCCCAGGCTCCGCAGGAACCGCTCCCGCGCCGCTCCCCATGCGAAGGGAATAGGAGAAGGGAGGTGCCTCCTCCTCCTCCTCCTCCGCGTCCTCGTCGTCGTCCTCCTCCTCTTCCTCCTCCCCCTCCTCATCCTACACCTCATGTTCCTCCTCTTCCTCCTCCTTCTCCTCCTCCTTTTCCACCTCCTCCCCCCAGGGCGGGCAAGCACCCCAACGCTTCCGAGCTTCTGGCGGTAAACGCAGGTGCCACGTGAGTGATGCACACTACGCGGCACGTGCCCATGCCCTCAGCTGCACGACTCCTGCACATCGGAAACCAGGAGGATATCTGGTGCACTCGACGCGGCATGGCCGTCAACAAGAGGGACAGATGAGAATAGGGCGACGAAATCTCTCTTTCTCTCTCCCGATGTATAAATCTATACGTATCTCTATATGTATATATATATATATACATCACTATCGATATCCACCGCCGCTGCCCAGGCCCATCCTGGGCCTGGGAGCCGTGTATACGGACCCCTGACTTGGCCAGGAAGGCATTTACACGTGGCGTCAGTATCACGAAGACCAGGTACTGATTCAATGTCGTGGGGAGCCCAGCTCGGGCAGGGCGAAAGGGGGGGATAGCAAAGGGGGGGTTTGAGAATCAGCTCACGTAGCTGATTTTCCCGTCGCCTCCCGGCGCCGGAGGCGGCCATGTATCGAGGAATGTGCCCCTCGGTGGGGCCGAAACCAGCTGCATGCATCCGGCCCGAACGGCGGAGGGCGGCGATGCTCGCAGCATTGAGAGCACATATGCTGAGAGACCAGGGGGCCATGCTCGGATGACCCGCAGAGCAGCACGTGCCCTTACATGCGAGAAGACTCCATTAGAAACAACGGGAACAATGTTTAGGGGAGACAATGCGTCCTTCGTCGGCCCGTGCCGCAAATGTTTAATGAACGCTCGAGGCACCAGGAAGCCGGCAGCGTGAAGCCAGCAACACACCAGCTCCAATGCGCCCCATCTTCCTCCCTACCCTACGTCGCGGGCCGCTGCCTGCATCCGCAGGAACGGCAACGGCAGAGTTATTGCGGGAACACGCTAACATCCTGTGATGGGAGGGGGCACCGACGAGCAGACAAGCACACACTCAGGACCACCATTCCGGGTGCGGAGGCCGGTGGGATGGGTGCAACGTTCAATTTGCGATGTGCGTTGGATCGGATTCGCAATATACCGATATCGATATACACCTACATACATACATACATACACACATACATACATACATACATACATACATGCATGCATGCATGCATACATGCACACACCTGTGTACATACTATATATATATGTCGATCCGTCGCCACTATCAAAACGTCGATCGACCTCTGCCGATTGCACTATCATTCACTCGATCGATCACACCGTCTGTTTTTCGCTCTAACGATCTGTCGGTCACACCACCAATTGACCGACCTCACTACAGTAGGTGGGCCGATCTCGAAACGTGTACCTTCACTCACAGATGACTACTATGATCAACCGATCAATTGGGCATACCTACAGATTGGTCTCACAAGTTATAGATCGGTCTCACTATTCACCTACCTATCAATCTCACTATCTATCGGTCGCATTACCCTCAACCAGGACGGAGCCACAATGCAACCGCGGGACAACTACAGGCAACAATGCGACATAAACGGGACAAGGGCTGGGCAACCACCATAAACCCCCAGATCAACCACGCGACAATCGTGGGGCAATCACGGGACAACTAAGGGACAACCACGGGACGACCACAAGAGAACTACGGGTCAACACCACTGAACACTGGACAACTTCGGCACAACCTCAAGACCGCCACGGGACAAGCACGGAACAACCGCGGGATGAATCATCCCAGACCCCGACGTCATGTGTTTTTCATCACGTCGACCCCTGGAGGTCTCGGCACACTCCCCGGGACCAGCGCGTCATCCAGAGCTCCCTAATTGCGTTTCGCAAAGGTGTTCTACTCGTGGCAGGAAAGGACCACAGAAGAGTCCCACGAGAGGGACGGGGAGCTCAAGACCGCCCGGCCCGGCAACCGTTTCGCCTGAGACGTCCTCGCAATCGGTTCCGCAATTGTGCTCCCGCCGGAATGCGAACCACATGTTTGGTCCGGAGGGCCAGAGTCCCGTGTAAAAACTAACTGAGACGTACCCAACCCCTTCTGCACGCGAGGCGACTGCTTCTATGAACGCTAAATACACAAGGAGCACATCGCAACATTTGCGGCACTCGGAAAGGCGTCGTGAAACAACGTCGTGCCGCGCACGTCGCACACCTGCGCAACATAGAACGGCGGACAGAAGTAGGGGAGAAAGAGGGGGGAAGAGGACAAGGAGAATGAAGCACAGGAAGGGGAATAACTACTGGTGAGAGTAGCACCGCCATGAGACAGTGGCGAAAGTGGCGACAGCTACGCAGTTAGCACACCCCGAGGGATCCGCGAGGTCGCAGAGTGACCTGCGCTGGCCTCACCCCCGCCCTGCTCCAAGGAGCCCACGAGCGAGGCGAAAGTTGTGTATCTGGCCGGGCGAAAGGGGGCAGATAGCAAAGGGGGGGTCTGAGAATCAGCTCACGCAGCTGATTTTCCTGGCGCCTCCCGGCGCCGAGAGGCGGCCATGTATCGAGGAATGGTAAAACAGGGCTAAGATCGGGATAAATCGCTCCAGAGCGTTCCGGAGCGCTATCTGAGCGTTCCGGCACGCTCTGGAGCGGCCGCGGCGCCCAATACATCCTCCAAACCCGCCGATTCTCAGAGATTTCGAGTTATCCCGATCCGATTTTGTCCCGATCTTCGCGTCGTTTTAAATGGGCCCCTCGGTGGGGCCGAAACCAGCTGCCTGCAGCAGACTTCGTACCCCCCCCCTTTTCCCCATCCCTCCTCCGCCTCCTCCTCCTCCTCGTCCTCCTCTTCCTCTTCCTCCTCCTCCTCGTCCTCCTCCTCCTCCTCCTCCTCCTCCTCCTCCTCCTCCTCCTCCTCCCCATCCCCCCCCCTTTCGTCCGGCCCGAGGTGCAGTCCTCGGCCCCTGCGGGAGCCTCGGGGTCCCAAATGGATCTGCGCCGGCATCGCCCTCGTTCGGCCTCCCAGAAGCAGGGCGGCAGTTGCGCAGCTTGGAAGGAGGAGGAGGACGAGAAGCAGAAGGAGGAGGAGGAGGAGGAGGAGGAGGAGGAGGAGGAGGAGGAGGAGGAGGAGGAGGGGGCCCCGGGAGCCCCGAGGTCCCATATGAGCTGCGCTGCGCCTCTGCCGTGCCTCCCAGGAACCCGCGAGCATGGCGACAATGGCGCAGCTCACGACCTTCAAGGGAGACGCGAGGTCCCCAATGATCTGCGCTGCCGGCTGCCCTCGACTCCGCCGTGCCTCCCAGAACCCTCCGAACGTGGCGACGCTTGCGCATGTCGCAAGCCCCAAAAATAAAAGCGAGGTCCCGAATGGTCTGCGCTGCCTGAAACTTCGCCATGCCCCCGCAGAGCCCATGCTACAGGCAACACTTGCGCAACTCGCAGCCCCTAGGGAGCCGCGAGATCCCGAATGATCTGCGCTGCCCTCACTTCCGCCGTGCCTCCCCGGAGCCCACGAAATTGGCATCAGTTGAGCAGCTTGCAACCCCCCAGTAGGAAACGTACGAAGGGAAGCAAGGAAGCAGGATGCAGGAGGAAAGGGCAGGAGGAGGAAGATGAGGAGGGAAACGCACGAACAATGCTCTATCCAGAACGAGAACCCAACACAAGAAGGATGGGAAATACAAGGTCCGTATGGCCGTGCTCTCACCGCTGTCCCAGTAGCCGACCTCCTACTCGTCTGCACGCCTATGCACCTTTGCTGCTATCAGGGTGCTGTGCTGGGGCAAAAGCTGCTTGACTGTCCCGGGGCCCGGCGAAGGTCCCAAGAGGCAGAACATAGCCAACAGCTCAAACCACTGCTTTCTCACAATGCGAGGGGGTCTAGGATTGGCCACATCTGTTTGTGTTATCCTCCTCCGTCCGCGGGGCGCAATGCTCCTGCGGCTTGAAGGTCCATAGGAGGTCCTGGCCCAATGCCACGTCCGCGAGCCCGTGGAACAGCGGCGCCTGCCCGCGATTCTGCTCACAGGTAACTGTGCACAATCATACGCAGATCCCGCGACATCGCCGATCACAAGCGCGTTTAAATCAATTCCATTCCCAGATATGTCCCATCGCTGTCCGCAGGCGCCCCCTTCTCTTTCTCCCTGTCGCTCACATGTTGCTCTGTGCTCTCTCTCTCTCTCGCTCTTTCTCTCTCTCTCTCTCTTACTCTCGCTCAACCTGTATTTTCATGATGTGTACTGGAACCACGCGCGCTTCGCGCGCTTGGGTTCTAGCATGCTCTAGTCCAGCATCGGAGGACATCCATTGTCATACGGATCGTGACCCTCAGGGAGCTTCACCTGCGGCTTCAGAGACAGGCTTGGCTTCGCGTCCCCCGAACATGTTGGCAACCCCTCACAAGGATCGCCCCCCGAAGGAAACTCCACATACGTCCCCAAAGACAAACTTCGCAGAATGGCACGCCCGTCAGGCGGATCGTGCACCGCAAATAACTGCATCTGTGGCACCAAAGGGAAGCTTCATAGCGCCACCCGGCTCAATTCGACACACCTCTCACACGGATCGTGGCCCGCAAACAATTCCAGGGACAACCCCAGAGACAAGGTTCGCAGCCCGCCCCCCCGTCTACTTCGGCACACCTCCCACACGGATCGTGGCACACAGGGGTCTCCACCTACGGCCTCAGAGGCAGGGTTCGCACTGCGCACCCCCCCTGGCCATTGCGGCACACCCCATGCCGCGGATCAGACCCACAAGGGACGCCACTTAAAGGCCCAAATACAAAGGTTCGCGCAACGCCCTCCGCCCATGTCGGCACACTCGTCACGCGAATCATGCCGCAGAAGGAGCTCCACCTATGGCGCCAATGGGCAGCTTCGCATGAGGTTGACCCGCCCAGTTCGGAACATGCCTCGGACGGGTCGTGCCTGGAGGTCCACCTGCGGCCGCAGTGAACGTGTTCACGCGGGGGCATCCGAATTATGTGGCACACCCTTCACGCCGATCGTGCCCCACAAGGAATTCAGAGCACCCGTGCACGCGTGCACCGCAGCAGCCATCATTCCGCATTGCCCCGCGCCGCGCAGTGTACATGACTGCCAACGGATGGGTCCGTGGGACGAAACAATCCTGGCCTCCTGTGACTCTCTCGGGGAGCATGTTGGAGCCTTCTGAGGACGTCTCCTGGGCATGCTGAACCGTCTCATTCGGGCGTCTTCGGCCTGTCAAGCCACTCTGGTCGCTTTTTGGCAACCTCCGGAACTGTTTGAGCGGCGGGGGGCAGGCCGTGGAGGCTCCGAAGGGGTCAGAAACGTTAGTTGGCCAAATGGGGGGAAATTATGGGAGGGCGTCTGGGCTCTGTTTTTTGGACCTCCTCCTCATCCTCTTCTTCCTCCTCGTCCTCGTCCTCGTCTTCGTCCATACTCCTCCTCCTCCTCCTCCTCCTCCTTTTCCTCTTGCTCCTCCTCCCTTTCCTCCTCCTCCTCCTCCAGTCCTTTCCTTTCCTTCTGAGTAACTCTTCCCTGTCGCACCCCGAGTCCTGTCGAAAAGGCGGGCTGGGCGTTTCGTTTGAAGTTTCTTCACCCTTTATAATTTTCACGCTCACGACTGATTGAATCGGCAGCAGCTTTGGAAGTGGAGCGCGGGTGGTTTTCAACATGTCTCTCTGTCTTTGGCGCCGCACGCATTCGTTCTAAACAGTTGGCAATGGTTTCATCGATGGAGGGCGGGTGGTTTTCCAAATATGACCCTCGCCTTAGCGCCGCGCGCATTACAAACATGCAAGAGATTTACATGTTTGGGGCGGGTTGTTTTCAACTTGTGGCTCTCGCATTAGCGCCGCGCGCAATGAACAAAAACTCGCAAGCACTTCCCATCCCGTGGGCGGTTCCTTTTTCAAAATGAAGCTCTCGCCTTTGCACAACGGACATTGTTGAAACCAAACTGCAAGAGTTTCACAGGTTCTCGTTTCCGACGTGCCAAGAACAGTGCGCTGGAACGGTGCAGGATTGCCACGAGCGGAACGCAAGTGGATCGGGCAGCGAATCAGCCATGGAACAGCGCACACGAAAGGCAAGGTTGTGCCTAGAGACATCCCAACATTCGTTGGCGATGTCCGAGTTGCGAACCAGGTGGGGGGCCCAGGTGACGGAGGTCCGCGAACAGGAATGACACATTAGAAGGGACATGGCCGGGGAACAATTCAGCCAGAGTAGCGCAGACAAACGAAGAAAACCGCTGCGAAACTCGACAAATAGCAGGATGCCATGATGGGAAACAAGAAACGCGTGAACGAACCGGCGCAACGAAGAAGAGGGAAGGGAGGGGGCGGGAGTCAAGCGTGCAGCGCGCCAGGGGGCGCCCCGGCCACTAGTGACTCCGAATTGGGTTCGCAGCCAACCCGCCAGGGCGCAACCATGTGGAAAGGGCGCGAAAAGCGCGATGGGGCGCGCCGACGTGGACCAAAGGCGCCATGCGCCCCCTTCCGCTGGAGCCTTCGGTGGAGCTCCCTGCCAAGGGCGCCGCGCGCCATGGGGGAGCTCTCGGACGCCCGCGGGAACGCCAGGGGGCCCGAGCGGGGGAGCTGTGAAAAAAACCTGCGGGGCGCGCTGGCGGGATATATGCAGCCTCGCCGCGTCGCGCGCCCACGGCGCCGCCCCCATATCCCCGCGCCTCCTGGGCGCGCAAGACTCGCCAAAGCGCTCCAGGTGTGCCAGCGCCGCCCGTCTTGCGCTCCAATGCTGGCGCGCAAGCCCACCGCGCGAGCCGGCGCAATCCAACACCTCGCCGTCGCGCAGCCTTCGCCCGGCAGCTCCGGCAGGCGAATGCTGCCATCTGGGGCCGCGGAAAAAAAACGCCGCCCGCGGCGGCCGGCCCGCTGCCTGCGCTGGCCAGCGGGGGGGCGCGCCGCCAGCGCGGCGCCTTTCCGCCGCCCCCCGTTCCCGCCCGCCGCCCGCAACGTCAGCAGCGCGCTCTCCGCGCTCACCTCCGCGGTCGCGCCTGCGGCCGTCCACGCCGCGAGCGGGCCGGAGCCGAGCGCGCCGCCGCGGCAGCCTCAGGCGTCGGAGGCTTCGTAGCTGGCAAGCCAGCTCTCCGCGTCGGGCACCCACCCAGACCCCCGACGTCGTGAGAAACTCACGACGTCGGCCCCCCGAAATCTGGAGACCTTCCCTGGGACCGGTTTTTCATCCCGAGTTGTTTTTGACGCTCCCGAGGCCCGGCGAGGGCCTCCAGAGGCCGAAAATTGTCTAAAACCTTCGTCGTGAGTTTCTCGCGACGTCGGAGGTCTGGGCAAGGGATGGCCTGGGCCCGGTCCACCGCGCCCACCGCGCAGCTCGCGCGACGGAGCGCCTCGGGCGGGGCGCCCTCCGGCGGCGGCTGCGCCGCGGCGCCATGGGGCAGCGGGCGCCGCTGGCGCGGGGGCAGGAGAGCCCCCCGGCGGAGCGTCGAGCGCCGTCGAGCGCCGGACCGCCAGGGGGCCGCTCTCCGGAGAGGGACCGGCGCGCGGGACCTCAGAGGCGCGGGTAAAACGACGCGAAGATCGGGACAAAATGGGATCGGGATAACTCGAAATCTCGGAGAATCGGCGGGTTTGGAGGATGTATTGGGCGCCGCGGCCGCTCCAGAGCGTTCCGGAACGCTCTGAGAGCGCTCCAGAACGCTCTGGAGCGATTTATCCCGATCCTAGCCCTGTTTTAGCGGGGTCCGTCAGGAAAATATCACCGCGCACGAGCCGCGCGCGACCTCGGTGCGCTGGGTGGCGGCCAGCGGTCTTTGGTCCGGCGGTCGGCCGGGCACGCCGCGCTGCATGGGAACGCGGCGCCGCGCCCCACCGGGGCCGGGGGCCGCCGAGGTAAAACAACTGTTTCTGGCCGCGTGCACCCACAAGCCGAGCTTGATCTTGATGGAACGGCGCTGAATGAACTGAAGCAACCCGAATGTGGCGTAAAACGATCCAGGTGTAAGAACGCTGTGTGAAACAACTTGGGGTGAAACAGCCATCTGTCCCCCTGTGACCCAAGCGCGGCACTAACACGGCGCTGCGTTCCGAAGACTGGGCCACCAGTGCGCTTGGCCGTCAGCATACCCGGACCATTTGAAGATTTCCTCTGCGGCCCAAAATGTTCGCAACTGTTAGTTGCGGAATTCCGTGCAAGCGTGTCTGGAGCACCCGCGCAGGCAGGAGGTCTCATGATAGCACGGCTAGATTCATCAAAACATAATGCGCACCAGAAAGGAGATGACGACTAAGATGGGACTGATGTTGGATGGGGGTGTCCAGAAACAGAGAAAGCAAACAACACAGTCGTAGTAGAAAACACCATGTTCCTACCAGCTTGACGGGGACGTGGTCGAACAACAAAACACCGCCCAGACTTTCCGATCCCACCGTATGATTACCCCATTCACCCTTCTCCTCCTGATGCGTTTCCCTTCCTTCATATTATGGTCCTCCTCGCCCTCATTGTCCTCTTCCTGCTCCTCGCCCTCCTCCTCGTAGTCATCAGCAAAAACATCACAACCATCCTCATCACCATCACCATCCTCATCATAATCAACGTCACCAACTTGACCGTCATGATCATGACCGTCATGATCATCATCATGATCGTAATCATCAGCAGCAACGTCATCCCCGTTACCATATCCAACGGCACCAGCATAAGCATAATCCCACCAGCCCTCTGGGCGTAGGTGGTCTAGAGCAGATCCTCTTCCACCCCTCCCTCTTCCCCCTTGGGGAGGGGTTTACCCCTCCCCCTACCCCCTCCCCTGGACCTGGACGGGGGGGGCCGCGGGTAGTTAGAGCGTCCAAGATGGCCCAAGACGGCTCCAAGAGCGCCTCAGAGAACCCAAGATGAGCTCCAAGATGGCTCAAGATAGCGCAAGATCGCTCACGATGGCTCCTAAGATGGTTCCAAGAAGCCCAAAGACGGCCCCAAGATAACTCCAAGTGGCCAAACAGCTCCCCAAGGAGGCCCCGAAGAGGCCAAAATCGTCCCAAAACCTAAGGAAAATCAATGATTTTTGCTTTCTCGCCTTTTCGCTTCCGATGGCCATCCGAGGCCTGGAGATGGCTCCAAGATGGCCCAAGAGGGCCCCAAGAGAGCCCCAAAAGAGCCCCAAGACGGCCCCAAGAGCGCCCAAGAGCACTCCAAGAGCGTTCCAAGAGGGGTCCAAGAGGCGATTTTAGGGGCTTCCGAGGGGGGGCGCTAATTAAACCCCCCCTCTTGTTTGATCGACTCCCTCCAAGATGGCCCCAAAAGCGCCCCGAAGGCTCCCCAGAGCGCCTCAAGAGGGTCCCAAGAGGCGCCCAAGATGCCCCAAGGCGCCCAAAAAGCCCTCCAAGAGGCCCTCAAAAGACCCCCAAGAAGCTCCTTCCCCTCCTCCTCCTCCTCCTCCGATTCTTCCTCCTTCTCCGTCCTCCTCCTCCTCCTCCTCCTCCTCCTCTTCCCCCTCCTCCTCCTCCTCCTCCGACGACGACGACGACGACGACGACTCCTCTTCCATCCTCCCCCTCTCGGGGTCTGTGACAGCTTCCCCCGCCCTTTGTTATTCTGCATGCTCCCCGACTTCCCTGATCACCTCAACTCCCCTGAGCATCGTTTCTGGATGGGCTGGTGGGGATACGCGAAGCGTCAACAATTTCCATCCTAAGCCTCATCATCGTCATCATCACCCCGATCATGCCTACCAACATGTGTTCCTGCTTATGATGCTCCGTGCTCACCCTTGTACCCCTAACCTCCACCTCTACGCTTGTCTCAAGGTGACAGGCACAAGGAGCACTCGCGGGCATACAACATACGGGCCAACGCTCTGGCGGACAAGCGGACCAGAGGCCAGGTGGACCGTCCCCTTTCCCATTCATCCATCCCATCTCCCTCCCACTCTCTTAGTTTCTGCCGCCTCTCCTTCCTCCTGGCCTATTATTCCCTTGATCCTTCTCATCTGGATCCTCCTCTTCCCGATCCTCATCATCTTGGTCAGTATCGTCCTGATATTACTCCTTCTCGTCTTGATCCTCTTGTGCCTGATCCTCCTCATTATGATCCTCCTCATGCTCTGGATCCTGATCCTGATCCCACTCCTCCTGATCATCCTTCTCCTCAACCTGAACATTCTCATCCTCATCCTGACCTCGTGGTCCTCATTTTCCTGAATTTCTCGAAGCCTTCCTCCTCCTCCGACTCCTTCCCCTCCTCCTCATCCGTCATATTCTCCTCATCTGCCTATACTTCTCCTCCTGCTGGACTGGTGAGCAAGTGAACCGATGGACGGGTAGACCGTAGACTGGTGAACAGGGGACCTATCATCATCAGCATCATCATCATCACCACCACCACAACTATCATCATCATCATCATCATCATCATCATCATCATCATCATCATCATCATCATCAGCACCATCACCATCACCATCACAGTCGTCATCATCATCAGCATCATCATGAACATCATCATCATCATCATCATCAGCATCAGCATCATCACCATCACCATCACCATCACCATACTAATCATCATCAACGTCAGCATCATCAGCATCAACATCATCATCACCAGCACCATCACACTCACCATCAGTATCATCAGCATCAATAACAGCATCATCGTCACCATCATCATCACCATTCCCATCCCCTATCCCCATCAGCATCGGCAGTATCATCAGCATCATCACCAACATGATTACCATCGTCATAATCGTTGTCACCACCATCATCATCACCATCAAAAACCCCATCCTCATCCCCATGCCCATCATCATCAGCATCAAAATAAACATCATCACCACCACCATCCTCATCATCATCATCATCATCGTCATCATCATCATCATTATTGTCATCATGATCACCAGGACAGCATCATCATCAGCATCAGTATCAGCATCAGCATCAGAAGCATCATCATCATCATCAGCATCACCATCATCATCATCATCACCATCATCGTCGTCATCATCAGCATCATTCTCATCATCGCCATAATCAACATCATCATCACCATTCTCATCATCGCCATCATCGTCATCGTCGTCATGGTCATGGTCATGGTCATCGTCTGCGGTATCGTTATCACCTTCAACACCGCGACCAATTGACCGACTGACCAACAAACTGGCTGACCGGCTGACTGGTTGACTGGCTGACTGGTTGACCGGCTGACTGGTTGACCGCATGACCGGCCGGTTTACCAAGGACCAACTGACCGGCTGACTGGCTGACCGGCTGATCGGCTGACCCGTTGACTGGCTGACCGGCTGACTGACTGACAAGCTAACCGGCTGACCGGCTGACCGGGGAGCCGCTGACCGCCTGACCAATATGAACCCGATGTGTTAAAACAAGACGGTCTCAGCCAGAAATCCCACCAGCCCTTTGGGCGACAGGTGGTCTAAGGGTGATCTCTTTTTCTTCCACAACCCCTCAATTTGTGGCACCCCTCTGGCCCCCGAGGGGGTGGGCAGACATCGAGGACTCCCTCTCTTTTGACCGACCGGCTTAAAGATGCACCAAGAGGCACTCCAGGGCTCCGAAGATGTCCCCAAGAGAGCTCCAAGAGCGCCCCAAGAAGCTCCAAGAGGTCACACCAAAGAGGCCTGCGAGCGGCCTCAGAGAGCCCAAGATAACCTCCAAGATGGCCCAAGATAGCCCAAGCTGGCTCAAGAATGCTCCCAAGATGCTCCAAGAGGCCCCAAGACCGCTCCAAGACGGCTCCAAGATGGCCGAGGAGGCCGCCGAGAATCCAAAATACTTCAAAACCCGAGGTACGCAAGACGCCGTCTCGTCCTCGTCCTCCTCCTCGTCCTCCTCGTCCTCCTCCTCGTCCTCCTCGTCCTCCTCCTCGTCCTCCTCGTCATCGTCCTCGTCCGCCTCCTCGTCCTTATCCTTGTCGACCTCCTCGCCCTACTCCTAATTCAAATGATTATCCTCCTAAATACTCCCCCTCCTCCTCCTCCTCCTCCTCCTCCTCCTCCTCCTCCTTCTCCTCGACCTCTCGTTTTCTTCCATATCCTTCGTCCTCGTCCTCGCAAGTTTCCTCCTCCTCCTCCTCCTCCTCCTCCTCCTCACTCTCTTAGTCCTCGTCCTCCTCATCCACGTTTTCCTTCTCCTCGTCTTGCTCCTCTTGCCTCCTCCTCCCTTCTCCTCCTCCTCCTCCTTCACCTCCACTTATTCGCCCCCGCCCCCCCACGCGGGCCTGGAGATGGCCCGAACACGCCGTCCAGGCCGGCCTCCCTGACTGTTTTACTATGCGTGTCTCTTCCTCTCTCAAACCGTCAGCTCTCATGGGCATCGTTTCTGAATGGGCTGGTGGGGAGCGCGCGAAGTGTCAAGAATGCTGCTCAAATGACCCTTTGACCAGTTGACTGGTTAACTGGCTGACCGGCTGACCGGCTGACTGGCTGGCCAACTCACTGGCTGACTGGCTGACCGACTGATCGGCTGACCGGCTGACCAGCTGACTGGCTGACCGACTGACCGGCTGACCGGTTGACTGGCTGACCAGCTGACCAGCTGAACGGCTGACCGGCTGACCGGATGACTGGCTGACCGATTGACCAACTGACTGGTTCACCGGCTGTTCGGCTGACTGGATGCCTGGCTGACCTTGGGGAAGCCCCAAGATGCACCCAAAAGTCAAACGGCTTTCAAGATTCTCCCAAGACGCGCCGAACATGCCCCCCAGAGGCCTATCGAATGCGCTCCGAAGAGACTCCACCAAGTATCCCTGAGGACTCTGACCCACGTCAGCGTCGTCGTCGCCGCCGCCGCCGTCGTCCCCCTTCGGGATCGGCGGCACCGGCCGTGAGGCATTCGCAATACAATTAGAGATCCCGTACTGGGCAGGCGTAAGCAACAGAGAAGTGTAAACTCTGAGCATGCCCGCGGCCCAAAACTCCGAAGATTGATGCGGGCCCGATCGATCAGAGCGTGCCTTGAGCGCCTGGGCGCGCCAACGCCTCGGTCCGACTCTGACCTTTAGTAATGAACATGCGCATCGTGCTTGCAACACAAACCCAGGTCGGCCAGGGCCCAATAGCGATTCTTGTCGCTCATAAGTAGATGGATTCGGAAGAACGCGCCGCATCGTCGACGCATCATCAATGCATCGGTGGTGCATAGGCGGCGGCGGTGCACCGGCGCTGTCGGCGTGGGGAAAATCGGGCTCCACATCGAGCCGCATCGCCGATGCATCGCCGATGTGGCGCGATCCTCCGACCGCATCTGATCCGACCATCGGGAGGCCTAGAGCTCAGTATATCCCAAACCCACGTCAGCGAAGGCGGACATCGGGAATCGGCCCACGTGGCTCCCAAAACTGGGTCAGCCAGGGGACTGGCCGGCCCCCGTCAACGCCGACCCCCGTGACTGCAGCAGGGACCGACCGTCCCGGCATTCTTGTAAGCCTACCACGATATCCTCTTAGAAACAAATGATGTTTGAATAACAAAACAACTCTGTTAGACCATCGAGCCGATGTGTAAACAAGGTGGCCTCAGTCAAACCTGTTGTAAAATACATATCCTGCAAACCGCAGCCGATCCTGAGAACGCTCTGTGGCGGGCTTTGGGCAAGTCAGACCGCTTCGCTACTGACTGTTTGACGCGAGCCCCGGCCGGGGGCACCCGACCCAGTCGGGCGTTTCCGGGCCTCCACGGAGCGGTTCTTCGCGTATGCCCAGAGGGTGTTGGCGATCTCCTGGGGGCGGGGAGGAGCGGGCACCCGCGAAGGGCGAGGCGGAGGGAAGGGAAAAGGAGGCGGAGGTGGAGGCGGAGGAAGAGGAGGCGGAGGAGGAGGGGGAGAGGGGAGGACGAGAAAGGGAAGGGGGAGGAGGAGGATGAGGAGGGGCGAACGCATGAAAAGCGCCCCCCGCCCCCCTCATGAAAAACTTTAGACCGATGGGGCCGTCAAGCGACGCGCGAACTGCACGCGGAAACTGCCCGACAGTCAGCGAACGACAACGCCGCGCATTTCAGTGCGAAGCGCGCGCTGCCGCAATGCTCGTGGGCCTTTGAACTTGGCGGCCCCTTGCGCTGGTACGCGGTCAATGCCCATAATCATTGTGGACATTCGTGCGCCCGTGCCAGGGCAAAACCCACTTGGCGCGTCGGCCTTTGGCGGCGCTGGCAAGAGCTCCAGGCGGCGCCCAGGGCCCGCCCCGCACGGGCGCGCATCGAGAAGCTTAGATCCACGCCCCCAAAAAGTTCATGCTCAAGGCGAAACAGTTCATATAAACACGATATACAATAAATCTAAACTTCTCCGAAGCAGAAAGTCTCGCGCGGGAGAGCCCCGACTAATTTATAGAAACACAAATAGGTGCTTATACAAACGCAAGAAAACTTTATGTTGGACCAAAGAGAAACGTTCCCGATGTAAACTTCTCCGCCGGCTGGGTTATGAGGGGGCGACGGAAGCGGGCGCGGGAGCCCTCGGATGGGCCAGCGGCGCTGCCGTGCGAGGGACAGCGCCGCCGTCGCCTCAAACTGCATGCCGCGGACGTGGCACGCGGTGCCCTGGGAATGCAAGCGCGGGCGCGGCCGCGTCGAGCGGGCCCAGGACGTTCGCCGCGAGCGCGGGGCCCTCTTGCGGCAGCTGGCAATGGTCTCGCCGATAGGGCGCCTACACTTGCGCTCATTCGCCGTAAATGCAAAACGCTGACATGTGACATCCATAGTCGTGGGGGCGGGGGTCGGTTTCCCACTGTCCAAGGAGAAAGCGCAGGAAGAAGGAGGAATGAATGAGACGGAGGAGGAGGAGGAGGAAGGAGGCGTTTGCTCAACAACGGCTTCGCTGTGCTTTGTACCGGTTTGGCTGGTAGAGAACGAGGGGGGGAAGATGGAGGAGGGGAGGAGGAAGGGAAGGGGGAGGGATAAGAGGAGGAGGCAGGAGAGGCGAGGAAGGAGGAGGAGGAGAAGGCGAAAGAAGAGAGGAGCAGGGATAATTGAGGACGACGACGATAATGATGTTTTTGTTGATGATGCTGGATGCTGATGCTGCTGAGATTGACGATGCTGCAGACGATAATGATAATGGTAATGCTACTGATGATGATGATAATGATGATGATGATGATGATGATGATGATGATGATGATGATGATGCTGATGATACTGCTGATGATGATGATGATGATGATGATGATACTGCTGATGCTGATGAACATGACTATGATGATGATACTGATGGTGATAATGATGATGCTGATGATGACTATGAGATGATGAACATGCGGAGGAGGAGGAAAGGGAGGTGGAGGAGGAGGAGGAGGAGGAGGAGGAAAAGGAGGAGGAGGGGGGAGGGAGGGAGGGAGGGAGGCAGGGAGGGAGGCAGGGAGGGAGGGGAGAAGAGAGGAACAGGAGGGAAGGGCAAAAAAAAGGCAGGGGGGATGGCCATTCCGCTTCTTCACTGGCTGCCCATCCCTTCCACCTCGCTGTCGAACTCTCTCCACTCCCCTTCCTGCTCGTCATGGGGCCCCTTCCTGCTCGTCATGGGGCCCCTTTTCGTCGTGGGAGTGCTAGAATGCCAAGTGCTTCTGCGATGCTCTACATGTTCCCCCCCTCTTCTCATACTCCTCTCCCGAGAATTCCTGGGCGCATCGATGGCCCTCTGGCGCTCTCCAAGACGAGATGCCCAAATTGGCTTCAGAGACGGCCCAGGCAGGCCACCAAGACCGCTAGAGTGGCCCAAGATGCTTCCAAGACGGCCCAGTGTTGCCACAAGAGGCCCCCAAGACGCCTCCGAAAGGCTCCCAACAGAAGAGGGAAGAAGAGGAAAGGATGAAGACGACGACGACGAACACCAAGAGAGACACCTGGACACGACGTGGAAGAGCGTGCCATAGTCTACGGCTCGCCCAAGCCTCGTGATACGAGGTGTCACACGGTGCGGCTTTCGCGCTCTTCGAATCGGAGGAGAGAATGGTGGGCTGGCACGGTGGCAGGACTTGCCGCATGCAGCTGGGTAGCACGCATCCGTGGCAAACAGAAATCGGGTCATTGTTAGCGCCACGACTATCAGCCCATGGGAAAGCGAATTCCCTGAACCGCCCCAGGGACCACAAGACCGGTAAACTCGCCGTGGACGCGCACGCGTTCCCAATTCCCTTCCTGAACTCCTCCTTCTCCCCCTCCCCCACCCCCCCGTCGTGTCAACAAATGGCGGTGTTTTAGGCTCCCCTGAGGGTCAGCGGATTCGACGTCTCAACTCATGTGTTGTCCAGGCTTCATGTCGCCTCCTTCCCGAGATTGCAATAACTACACTCGAGGGGGGAAGGAGAGGCCACAGAGTGCAGTGTTGTTTGGCATAATGTTACCCGTCCCCCCGCGCGCGGGGCGGCGGGGGAACAAGGGGGAGGAGGGGGGAGAGGGCGAGTGACGAGGAGGGAGGGGGGAGGAGAAGGACCATCCTCCGTCCTCCTCCTCCTCCTCCTCCGCCTCCTTCTTCCTTCCTTCCTCATTCCCTCCCTCCCTCTCCCCATCGTCCCCGACTCCCGGCCAATAACTCCCTTCCTCCCCTGGATGGGCACTGCAAAGGTTGCCGTCGGTTCCCAGCTCCGGTTCTGTGGATCGTTTGCTGCCGCGGCCGGCCCGAGGCTTCCACATGGCAGCCCAGTTGGCGGCGTGTCCATCCATCCATCCATCCATCCATCCATCCACCCATTCCCCCCCCACCTGTCAACACCCCCTCCCACCCCCCTCACCCGTTCCCTCCGCGCCCTGCCCTTTGAGGACGCCCGAGACCGCGCTGCCGCGCTAGGGGTGCGCGGGCACAGGAGGACGAGGCACAGGGGGGGGTTCGTCCTGCGGCTTTGCGTCAGCCGCCTTCGAGTGGATCTCCTGGGGGGGGGAGGGGGAAACTCCGCAGGCATACCCTCTCCTCCTGCCTCTACTGCCGCTCCGTCTCTTCCTCCTCCAGCCCTTCTTCTTTCCCATTGACCATTCCCCTCCTCACTCGTCCCGCCCTTCATCCCTCACAGTCCCCCAACCCTCCACATTCTCGTCCACCTCATCCTCCTCATCCTCCTCATCATCACCTCCAGCATTCATTATCCGCATCCTCCTCATAATCGTGGTCGTCATCGCCATCGTCATCGTCATCGTCGTTGGCATCGTCATCCTCATGAGCATCATGATCCTCATCATCATCCTCGTCATCACCATCATCATTAGCAGCATCAACATGATCATCAGCAGCATCAACGTCAACATCAGTGTCAGCGGCAGCAGCAGCAGCAGCAACCGCGGCATCCTCATCATCATCCTCATCATCATCCTCATCATCATCATCATCAGCATCAACATCAGCATCAACATCATCATCATAATCATCACCGCGACACAACAATAACCGTCATCGATACCCCCCATAATCATCAACAACACAGGTCTGGTAGTCTGCATAAGCGGAATCATCAACCTCGACATCGACTTTAGCGTATGCGTCGCGGCCATCACCATCACCAACACGATCACCATCTCAGAAATCATAACCATGCTCGTCATGATCATCATCATCAGCAACAACATCAGCATTTCCATAATCGTCGTCGTTGCCATCAACATCATCCTGATACGCGTCATGAGCACCAGCATCATCGACGTCATCATCATCACCAGCAGTATCATCATTATCCACATGTGCATGATCACCATCGTCATCAGTAGCATCATTCCCATAACCAGTATCATCATCATCATCATCATCATCATCATCATCATCATCATCATCATCGTCATCGTCACCATCATCATCATCATCAGCAGCAGCAGTATCATTGTCATCGTCACCATCACCATCATCATCATCATCATCATCATCAGCAGCAGCATCATTGTCATCATCATCATCATCATCATCATCACCATCATCATCTGCACCCTCGTCCTCATCGTCAGCGTCAGCGTCATCATCATCAGCATCATCAACATCATCATCACAAACCGCCTCATCATCACTATCGTCATCAGCACCATGATCATCACGATCACCATCGTCAGCACCAGCATGATCATCCTCATCCTCCGCATCTTCCTCCCGCTCATCATCATGCTTGCCTTCCTCACTAATTACTTCCCCTCCTCAGCCCTCCCTCTCCCCAATCCTTCCCCTCCCATCCCCCGTCCATCCTCCCCCCATCCTCTCATTCCCTTCGTCCACTGCGCCCCTGTGTTCTAATGTGTCCTAGTGGCGGCAACCCTCACGTTAGCTAGTCGCGTCCTACGTCACTCTCCCAATGCACTGCCTTAATGCATGAACGCGCACCCGGGCCGAATCCTGGCTTGAACAAGACATAGTGGGAGCGACCCGTATCCGTGCGTCTGAAGCCCCCTCCCCGCTCCTGATCGAGCAAGCATCTGACGGTCCAGACGATTCGCAAACTCTTGCTTCTGCCGCGACAGAACGATTCGCCCGCGGGTGTAAGCGCCACGGGCATTTATCTCCTCCTCTTGCCCCGTCCCATCCCTCGTTCTCCTCCTCCATCATCGCAACTTCTCCTCCCAGTCTTCCACGGCGGTCTGTAGTCCTGGATGCGAAGCGCACCTGGACTCGAAACCAACAGAGAATCAATGATGTTTGCTTTCGCGCCGTCTCGCTTCCGATGTGTTTCTGAGGCCTCGGGATGGCCCCCAGATGGCCCCAGAAGGAGCCCGAGAGACCCCTGAGATCTTTAAGATGACGCCAAGAGCGTCCAAGGGCGCCCCAAGCGCGCCCCAATATGGCCTCCAGAGGGATAGAGCTCCTCCAAAACTCCCGAGAGGCCCCCAAGGGGGGTCCAAGAGGGCCCATGACCTACCTAAATACCCCCAAGAGGACCCCAAGACCTTCCAACGCAGCACCAAGAGGGCCGCGAGAGAGCCACAAGAGGACCCTACGAGGGCCTCCAGACGACCCCAAGCCAGAGTCATCGTCGTCCTCCTTCTCCTCCTCTTCTTCATCATCCTCCTCCCCCGCCTCCTCTCAGCATGGATGCCCAAGGCTTGTGGCGAGCCGAGGCCGAACAGTTGTTGGAGGCACCCCGCAGTATGATATACCAGCAGGCTGTAGTTTCGCCACTTACGTCGTCCAGATGTTTATCAGTGTCCCACTCGATGTCCGCGTCCAGGACAATCCCAATATAGACCTCCACATGTTCATGAATGACTTCCTCCTCCAGGCCCGAAAGGAACCAACGGACCCAGTTCAGACCCTGTCCTACGCCGCGTCCTGCATGAAAGGCACGATCGACATCGACCCGGGGTGCCACATAGCTTAGCGTAAATCCGTCGTCCTGGCCTCGTCAACCGTTGTTCGACATCCCCTCGTAGAAGCCCTGCAAATCCTAGTTGGACCTCAGACCGAGCGAAGGACGGACGCCGCAGCCAACCTAGGAACTGATCCCACGGCATGAGGCCGAGGACGTTCCCGACAAGGGGGCGCAGTTCTTCGCCAGCGGTTCGCCAAGCCTCGCATCAGGAGAAGCCGCCTGCAAACGCCCAGACGGGCGGGCGCCGACCTGCGCAAGCTGTACCGACCAGGCCCGGACCAAGCCAACCATGACGGAACCGAAATGGTAGGACTAACCCGCACCTGGCTGATACAAAGAGAAACCATATATCTCGGTACCGTGGGCCCCCGAAGCCACACCAGACCCCGAATGCTCAGCGTATGTCTCCTTGGGGACCCCCTCATGGAAGGCTGCCCTGGGACCTGTCATATAATTATTATGGCCAATCGGTTTGGCGCCGTTTCCACTTGGCTCGGATTTCTTGGGACAACGCGCGCCGAATTTCAAGCGAATGTTGACAACACCCTGATCACCCCCTCCCCCCAACCGAAATGGGAATCGAGCCCAGGATCCAGACCGCTACGAGCCACCACACTGAGCCTTACGCCGATACCTGGGACCCTCAGGAGCGCTTTTGAGCTCGTGGCCTCGGAGGGCCCGGTCCTGCAGCTCACAGTCGCACCGCCAAGCCTGCTGAGCTGTCACCTCCCAGGGAGCCTGGGCGGCGAGCCTCCAGACGCGCGCTGCTGCAAAGAGGGGCCAGGCCAGTGCAAGGTGATACGTCTTTGCTGCTGGGCAAATCCTTGCGGGCTGCCCCAGTCTGCCACATCTGAAGGGGCCCTGGGACACACAAATAGATACACACAAATAAAAGATTCCCCATATTTTCTGGGCTTTTGTCTTCCCCCCCCCTTCCCATATTTTCCCATACTTTCTGGGGAATCGCCGATTAATTGTGTCTGTGTGTTTCTTTCCCTCCTGACCATCACCCCCTGCCCCTGCCCTTGGGAGGGGGGGGGAGCGGGCGGGCGGGCGGGAGGGCGGGAGGACTGAGCTCCACGGCCAGGTTCCGGAAGAGGGTCGCGTGCTTCTGCTTGGCCGTCGCGAAGGACCACACCACCTGGGCCCCACGCTGTGCTCTTGCTTGCGTGAGCCGCCTCGCTGACGGTCGGGCCCGAGACAGAATAACATCCTTCAAGAACATGAGACCCCCTGCTTGCCAAGCTAAAGAACATTCGAGGGTACCCTCCCCTAGGATGCACAAACACACTCAGCACGCACGAAGAAACACGAGGGTACGCTCCCCGAGCCGACCTCGATCTTCAACCTCGGCCCGACCGTAAGTCCCTGAACCACCTGTTCCCACACAAGACGAAGCCAGGACGAAGATGCACTCAGGCGAGGGTACACCGAGAATCTGAGATCCGGCGGCTCCGGAGATGGTCTCGGGCGCCAGCGACTTCTCAGAGCGTTGCAGAAAGCTCCGAGGGCGCTCCAGAACGCTCCAGAACGGCTTTATCATCGTCCGAGCCCCGTCCGGAAGCCTCCCCCCACACTTTGGTCGGAGGCCAGTTGGGTTCCGCAAGCGGTCGAACAAACGGCGGGACGCGTCCGTAGCGTCCTGGGGCGCAGCGAGACGCACCTCCACACGCATCCGCTCCCAAGAGGCCTGAGTGAGCCTCTTTCCCAGGACCTCGGACGGGTGGTCATAGGGGGTGACCTGAACGGGGGGGGAGAGAAGGGCAGCAAGGGGCCCTTCAGGGCTCCATTTTGGAGCCAGCAAGGGCCGAAAAAGGACCCCTTGTTCCACCCTTCAATGGGATCACACGCCATGACAATCCGCCCGAGCTTCATCCTGGGCTGTTCTGTTCAAGGTCCCTGGGATGCCGAGAACAAGGCTCGACCAAAACGCTGGTGTCTGTGTTCGTTCTGTTCTCGTTTCTCTTCGATTTGTCTTCGTCCCGCCTCTGCTGCAAAACGAAATATCGACACGAACATGGCCCTCGCAATCGCAAGAGCACCGTTTGGGTCGAGCCCTGGCCGAGAGTGCTGGCGGCGCGCACGGGGGGGTACGGGGGAGGGGGGAAGGCTTCTGAGAAGGAGGCTGCTTCTCAGAAGGCGTCGGCCCCACATCTATAGACCAGGCCCGCGCCTTCTGAGAAGCAGGGGTGCTTCTACGAAGCCCTTCTCCCCTTCCCCTACCCCCCTCGGCGCGTGGCCGAGCAGCTGAACGCAGCACCCCCTTCTCTGAAGAAGGCTGCACTGCACATCCCCATTGAGTCCTCGCCGATCCTCGCGACCCAAGCCTGGGTCTCGGGGCTCGCCTTCAGCTGGCCGCCTGGAATCTGCTACTGGGTATCGTCGCGTGCGCCGCGCCCGCGCGCGGTCAAGACGCGACCGGTGTGCCCCATGCCCGCAGGAGGCCTCAGTCCTCCCCCCCCCGAGCAGGAGTCACCGGTCGGGATTTTGCACGACGGGGGGGAGAGGGGCGCGGGGGCCACGTCGGCGGCGGGAGCCGCGCGCGCAAGACTGGGGGGGGGAGGGGCTGCGGGAGCGGCGGGGGGGGGGGTC